ATCTCATGGCACCCCATTAAACAAAAGTCATGTCATCATGATAATCTCACCTCCATTTTTTCACAAGTTATTTATTCATTAAGTCCAGGCTTGTGTCATGAAATCACGAAAACAAAGCTATGCTCTCTCTCTCCCTGTCTCTCTCTCTCATATATTTTTTGCAATTCGCTTCACCTGCGGTGACACTAACTGTAATTGTTTTTTCAAATACTCTATATAGGCTACACGGTACTCATATGTCGAGACAGAGTACATTCTGAATATTTTGAGACACTCTCTTTCTTCTGTTGTCTCCCAATTTACATGGCTTGGACTACATTTTCGTGAAACAAGAACATTCAGTGGCCTTTCCTTTAAGTCACAACACCGGAGGCAAAAACAATTCATCTCCCATTGCCTCATTGTCAATTCTGTCTGCTACCACCCCCTCCCCCACCAAAAAAAAAAAAAAAATCGAGAAATGTCTCTGCAAGGTGGTAAGAAGCACTGCTAAGAGGGCAAAGAAGCCTTGAGCTATATATAACAATATTTATGAGCTAGTGACGCAGAGAAACGGAACCTTTTAAGCATACAAACGTAGTTTCAGGCAATAAAATAAGGCAGTGCTCAAAGAAATGGAAAACTGCGGGATATGCTCAATGTGCCCAGTTGTGCAGTTAGAATTTTATTGATGAATCAAGCATGAAAATGTCAGATGTTGTATTTTGTGGGAGTAGTGTGTATTTCGGTTTTGTTTTGATGGAGTGTAAAGCTACAGTGCCTAATGATGATGACTTTTGTCAGTGTCAGCCCTGGTCTTCTTTTGTATGTTATGGTCGTGTAATGGTACAGCAATTATCATGGTCCAATATGTTTTTTAAGGATTTAAAGGTCACAGTATGAGAAACTGACTCTCAAATTGCTTGTGCGCAAATAGTGGGGTCTCAGGAGTGCCTGCCCACTCATCATCTGCGTTTTCTGAAATTGGCTGAAATGTTGCTTATTTACGTAATAACCTGCCCCGCAATTATTTCATTCGCCCCTAACTTCACAGTTTGGGTGGGCAAAGATCAAGCATCCGGTTGTCAGACTGCGCCATCGGAAACACGATGCAATGCCCAAAGGTAAACATTTTGTTGGACGCTCTAATTAGCGATAATAGCTAAAGCGATGTCTGATAAGTGGCGCATAATTGACTGCACAGAGAAGCTGTCAATACCTAAAAACATAAAATAAATTATTTTGACTTACTCTGTTATATATTCCCACACGCTTTATTTGATATTTTTAGCTTTCCCGTCTTGCTGGAAAAAAGCCCGTTTTGATGGCTGTCGAGAGCCAGCCGTCATCCAGCTTCTGTTACAATGACAAGCAAGTGAATGGATCTGCCCCATGTTAGCCAGAGCTCTTTAAACCCCCGAAGGCTTCATTTTGGTTGGACGTATGAAAAAGCACCACCAAGTGCCGAACGCCAAGCGTGAGATATGATGCTGTGGGATCAGAGAGTGTTGATTGCACTGTCATGCTCTTTACATTATTTATGACCAGGAGCTGGTTGTCAGTGATGATGACTTACTCAAGGCAACTTGAGCAATACAACATGAACCTATCCACATGACCCCGGTGTGTGCTATAATGAGTTAAATGGGGAAAAAAAAAATGTAAAAAAAGAACAAAGCAATCTTTGCAGATAGCGATAGCTTAACGTAACACGCACGCGCACACACAGTTGTGATCTGATGATAATATGCGATGTCAACCACACACAAAAAACCAAAACTTTGTTATTCCTAGTGACCAATTTACATGAAAAATGCCACGTGCCGTTCCGATACCGGCCAGCACTCGCCATCGTTCTCCGGGTGGCTTTACATGGAACAGGAAATCTGAAAGATGAAACAGAAGTTGAATCTAAAAGTGGATCCACATGCACCCAGAAGTCAGTCAGTCAGTCATCCAGCCAAAGCGCCGCGCTCCCTCAAGGCATGTTATCAGCAAAGGCTGTGTGCAGGGTGAAAGTAGCTCTAATCCTCCAATTAATTCTCATTCCCCTCAAATGGATGACCCCGGAGAGTTTTCTTGACACTTCCATTAAAAAAGTAAAAATGAAACACAGCATGAAGGTGAAACGAGAGGGATCCCTTTCTTTTTGGCCCGTCTTAATAGGAGTAAAGTTTTTGGCAAGTACTTAAGTCCTCTTTCTTATTTTCTTTCTTCCTCCTGCCAGGCGTGAAAAGAGTTGGCATTCCGAACAGAAAGTGTTCCTCTACGGTGGCAGGAGAATTTGGAGAAGAAATACTAATTATGTTTCTAATGGGTCCCTATCAGTGGTTAAGGCCAACGATTTGCATAACTCTCATTGACACAAAGAGACTCAATTTACGATGATTCGGCACGTGGCATGACTCTCCGGCCGCTCGGTTTGCGTGACATCCCACGGTGCTTTGAAATTTCTTTCTCTCTCCTCCTGCTGAGCCGACGGATCTCCTCTGTCGTCTGCGCCATGGCAGCCGTGTCATATCTTGCGATGCGTTCTAGCTAAGTCCTGCACTGCTTTTCCGGATGCGCGCAGACAGAATCATTTTCATTCAACTCTACGTAACACCACCCCACAAGCAACGTCTGGAGTAAATAATGAGTTTGGAGGAACTTTTTACGCGACACCTAGTTGATCTTGTTCATGTCTAGCGGTGGCTTGATAAATGAATCATATCTCCGAACAACAGCCCTGAAGGCTAGCTGCTTTTAAATGCTGAACAAATGCTTACAAGTGAGCTTGGTGATCAACGGGGACGCAAAGTGTAGTATATTGGCTTCTTGAGTTCAATTCCATCTCCCAAAAAAAAAAAAAAGTTAACTGAATAATTTGTCATGACTCACTTTCCCTTATTCTTGGTTTCACAAAATAGGACTTTCATTCATGAAAAAGGATAACCGTGATATTCACTGAACATTTGCTATACATCGCATTGACATTTCGAGCCACTACACACACTTTTTTTTTTTTTTTTTGCAAAGGAAAACTCATCCAAGGTATGTAGAGTCAATATCACGCAGTTAAAAAAAAAAAAAAAAAAAAAAAAAGAAGCAGCTTAGTGTTGCAGTCTGGCTGTTTACTACTTGGAAGTGTGTGTGTGTGCTGGCCAGTTGACAAATTCAGTAGCTGCTGGATTAGATGACTGGCACGGTAATGGCTGGAGGTGCTGGATGACTTCCAGCGGGCTACTATATTGCTGTTGACTGACTGTAACCCAGGGGAACAGTGTACTTTTTTTTTTTGTTTTGTTTTTACTGCAGACCAAAGTTAAATACTGGCAAAGTGGGATTTTTGGAAGGGCTGTGAAAAGTCATGGCAGCTGCCTGTTTTCGTCTAATTGTTATTCGATACTCCAAAACTGGCGGTGTTGTCAGCAACGATCGTGCAAGATATAAATCGCCTAACTCGAATTTTATTTATTTTCGACTTCCTCGGCCCTCCATCCTCTCTTTACACGTTAGCTCCTCCTAGCAGACGTCCCATCCGGGAGATAGCGGAGAAATTAGATGCTCACTACTCACCGTTATTAATTCATGGGAATGAAAGATCCATGTTGTTCGTGACAAAAGTTATTGAAGCTAGAAAACACTCTCTTGACAGTGTGGAAGGAAAACCTTCATGTTCTGTTTAGCTGACACAAAAACTCAAAATAGTTTGGCTATTCCCAGTTTGAAAACGGGCAAATCTGTCTGTTTATGCAGTACAGTGTGGACAGGTGATGAGTCGTTAACGTGCTGAAAATGTGACACCATGCATTCGTGACATCGCTCCATATGATGGGAATGTGAAGTTGAAGACTTTTGAGTGCATCTGATGGCGTTAGGAATCATATTGTGGTGTTAGGAATCATGCGTTCTCCCGCTTTAATCGGGCGGCGGTTGACAGCAAACTTCCTTTGTTGGTGGAAGGTGCCACTCGTTGAAATACCGACTTAAGAGCAAGTAAATATATTCTGTATCATAATGGTTTGTGATATTATAAAAGGAACACATTCGAATTGCCGTCCCTTGTGCACATTTTGGAGTAATATGCTACCGACATCAGTGGTGGCCATATATCTGTACTTTTAAACATGACTGTATGGCAAGCATAACTTGCCGCATACGTGTTTGTGGTTTTTGTTTTTTTTTTCCATCTTATAAATACCTCTTTCCACTCCCCAGCGTCTTTGGCACAAGATTCCACTTCCTCTTTCCTCCCGCTTGTGTAATAACTAAACTCGTGAAATACAAGGCACCTCTTTCAAGCAATACTTTTGACTGTAGTTCATTTGTGACAGCTTCATTTCAGTGTTTCCCTATCTCTCCAACAAGTGGAGGGAGGCACAAGTGTAGGCGAGCAGTTTATCACCAGCCAGCATACACGGCGCGAAGCTCAGTTGAAGGGATTTAAAGCCAACCGAAGGCTGGAGGGTACTTCTGCTGGTGATCTACCTCTGTTTTAAATCAGAGCTCATGCTGGGACTTCACAATGGCAATGTGATAAATGAAAGGCAACAGTACGGTTGGAAATGTAACATAAATTCTTGTCTTTTTTTTTTTTTTGCCGGTGTCATGTAGGCCATATATTTTCGCAACTAATCCTGGGCCAGGTTGTAATATTTCCTTGGAATGACTGCCACTGGAGTTGGGGTGATGAACACCAGCATCATTTACCCAAGAAAGGCGTCCCGTCTGTGTGCTGTGCCTCTAAATTTTTGAGAAGGAAGACGATCTTCATCAGCGGTCACCGACCTGACACCCACAGGCACCCGCCGGCCTCTCGGGACCACCTGAGTGGTCTAAAAATAGCTCACCTGTGGTGGGAGATTGTGATTTCCTTGGAATGTTAAGAGAAGGGATCGCTGATAAGTATTTGTAACCTGTCTTGTCGAGACATGGAATGTTCACATCGATGAATAGCGTCAATTATTAATAACATACTGCACTATTGAAGGTAATTTGGACAAATGTGTTATTTCGGATGCTTTTATTCATAGGTACCAGTAAGTTTTTAAAAAAAAATATGAAGCAACTCCACTTCACAAAGACATACTTTACATAACAAAACTTTGTTTGGGTGGATTTAGATAAAAACCCGAGGGTGAGACGCAACGCACAGAATTGGATTATTTGTAGGGAGGAATAAATCTCAAAAGGCTTATTTCACCTTTACTCTCCATCACATTCAAATGTGTTTAGTCTCTGAAGGCGTACTGTCAATGATTTTTTTTTTTTTTTCCAACACGACCGCCAAAGTTTGCATGTGCGGAGTTCTTGGCAGATTAGTTCAAGATAAGCACAACCGGGACCGACATTAAATCCGAATGATGAAATAAAAAGCTTGGTAAACATGGTACAGCAGGTACAGAGTTGTTAACAAACAAATAAAAACCAGGTTGATACAAATACACAAATACAGAGGATGTATTTATCAATCAAAGTGAAAATAAAAATAACTCATAGACAAATAAATGAAAAAAAATGCCTTACAATCGTGGTTGTTTATCAAAGGCTGCTGTTTTATTCACATAATCCTTTCTTGACCTTGCATTTTTTTTTTTTTTGGTCCGTATTATTTCATGTAGTTCAGTGACTCAAATTCAACTTGATCAGCCAAGCTGATTTAAATCACAGAGGACGAAATGTCACCCGGACCAATTTGTAGGCAGGACAACCGGTGTGCCAATGGAAAGCTTTCATTTTACAGAAACATTTTTTTTTTCTTCTGTAATTTACCGGATACTGTTAGCTTGTCTCCTCTGTCTTTATTTAGTCACCTTGACAAAGTTCTCACCGTGATCCTAGCGAATGTTAAAAATAACAGCTTGCCTATTTATTCATCATAATTTTGCTGGGCGCGACCGACGCTTCACACGAAAACTAATATTTGAGGGCGCTTGCTTTCGCGACTGTCAAATTATCGTTTTGCACGGCTGCCGCGGAGACAATTATTATTCTGATTAATGAATTAATATGAGGTGTTATGGAAAATCGATGGTTGTTTTTGTTTTGTATGGCTAAACATGCTGGGTCACATTGACTTGTGGGAATTTTGGGTGTGACCAAAGATTCTTTCTTGAACTCAGTTGTTCAGAAAACATTTTCTGTAAATGTCATCTTAACCGTGTCGAGGAAGCTTCCCATTCCTAAAACTAGTACGCCGTACTTTTTGTGGACGTATTGCTTCTGCTGTATTGAGGGCTTCTTAAAGATTTCTTGGATTTGGGGAAGTGTTTCATGATCAGCTGTCTAAAGTAGGTTTGGAATTTTTTACCGACAAAAGTATAAAAGATGGGGCTGATGCAAAAGTAGATGTAAGCAAAGTTACGTGTGATATGAAGGGCGTAGCTTCTCTCCCGCGCCTGCTCACAATTTGGGGATCCACCGTGTATCAGGAGCGCAATGTTGAATGGGGTCCAGCAAATGAAAAACAGCAACACAATGACAAACACCAGCTTCACCGTCTTGAACTTGGCGACCAATTTAGATGAGATGACGGTGACGGCAATTCTCACGTAGGAATAAACAATAATTGCCAGGGGGAAAAGAAAGAAAAGTATCAGTTGGAGGTAAAACCCAGATATCCTTACCCGAGACACGTCGATGGACGCAAAGTCTCCAGGATACTCTTGACAGTACGTCTTATTATTCATGTAATTGATGAAAGTCGTGTGGAGAATCATGGGCTCGATGCACGCTAAACTACTGATCAACCACACGGCCAAGCAGGAGACCACCGCGTAGCTTTGGTTCCTGATTCGAGATGTGCTCAAGGAGTAGACGACGGCGAGGTGGCGGTCAAAGGTCAAAAGAGTCAGAAAAAGGACGGAACTGTAGAAGCCCAGATAGTAGACGGTGCCGACGACCTTGCACATGAGTTTGCCAAAGATCCAGTCGGAGAGCTGCATGTAGACTCCCAGAAAGGGAAGGCTGCTCATGAAGATCACCGAGGACGTCACCAGATTTACCAGCAGGATGTTAGTAACCGTGCCCACCTTTTCGAACCTAGAAACACCAGATCGACATCAGGGATCAGATGTTCACCGTCCCATGTGCATTAAAAAGCACACAATGTACAGCGACGCGTTGTTTTTTTTTTTACTGCCCATTACGTGTGATTCATCACATTGAAACGCATTCGCTGAATAATCCCCCCCAATGCTTTGAAAATGACAGTTCGGCGTTTATTTCCTAGGACAGTGGATTATGGCCATTCATTTGTCGCAATCAGTGCACATTCATCTCAAGCAATTGGTGTAGAAACGGTTCAGGAGATGCCAAGGGGTGTCCCGCAACGCAAGCTTGTACGACAACAATTCGAAGAAATAACAGCCTTGGATGCATCGGGATTCATTTTCATCAGTTGCCTAGCTTACCGGCACTGTGTGAGTTTTCAAAGTCGACGATTTCGACAATGGTCGCTAATGGCAACAAAATCATGGCAGAGTTCGAGGCCAACAGATTGATTGAAAGATGATCGTAAACGGCTTCGGGGTGCGGCGCATCCTGATCTGGAAGAGAGGCACTTTCCATTTTTGCGTGAAGTTCAAGTATTTTTATTTTGATTATCATTTTTAGGGAAAGTGGAAAAAGCCTGCAAAAGAGCGTGACAAAAGAAGAAGGTTTCATCGTGTCAATCGGTCACACGCTTGATGCAGTCATTGCATCTTGTCCGCTTCGTGAATTAATCGTATTCACCACGGTGCTATTTCGTTCGAAATAATGCCGCCTTGTAAGATTCCTACGAGCCGCGGATGTAAATACCTGGAAATAAAAGCTGTGAGACTGTTAAACTCCCGTTTGCAATTACAGCAGTTCACTCCATTTTGCCTCAATTGCTTCAAGCCGCCATTAATCAACAATCAATTCCACACAATTGAACACATTCTTAACGATCAATTAATCGATTATTATGCCCACCCCCGGTGTTAACGAACCATGTTACCGCCGCAATCATCCATTTTATGCGTGGCATGAAGCTTTTAAACTGCTTAAATGTCTTTCACTTTCCAGAGTCCTGCAATAGTGACACATTTTAAACAAGTTTATTTCCATTCTTAAGGCGACGTAACTGGAATTTGAATCTTGTGAGCGTCGACGCGTGTCGCCGGCTGTCCTTAACCCACGCTAAAAAAGTAGACACGTTATAATTATGGTAAATTACTTTTTCTTAAGCTGGTTTTCACCGGAGAAAATCAGGATCTTGAAAATTGTCCTTCAGTTTGATCCACGAACGCAAAAACATATCGTTGGTCATTGCACTGTGTTTGCTGCCCGTGTGTCTTTTATGTAATTACAAGGACAAACTTTGAGCTTTGACGGGTAATTTTGCATCATATATATGAGCCACCACTCTATATGGGTGAACAGACGCATCACTTATGATGCCTCACGTTCATGAAATGCTAAAATGCGGAGTGGTACACTCAAAGTGAATGATTTCATAGCTGACATTTGCTTATCTTATTTGACTTAATTGCAGTTTGGGGACCTATCAGTACATTTATTTATTTATTTTTTTTGCCCATGAGATGACATAGACTGCCGCCTTGCATTTCCATAATTAGCCCATTGGAGTCCATTAGAGGAGCTTTCTACCTTGAGGGGCCAGTAATTGACACCTATACGTGACACGGTACCGAAGTAACGACCCTACACGGAAACCACTTCTACTGTAATAAATTAAAGTCAAAGTTTGCGGATTAGAGAGATGGCTATTTGTCACTGAGGTTGATGCAATACATATCTCAATGAACTGCAAAAAGTAAAAAAAGAAACTGTATTTTTTGTTGTTGTTGCGAATCTGATCGTCTCTTCGCGGATACAATCGAAAAAGGGTTTGTTCAATCATCTTGTGTTTGTTCAAAAGTTCAAGTGGCTTGCCTGCCTGGCTACAACATGACCTGGACATGACAGTTTTGCGCTCCATTGTGGCTTCCTCATCAAGGCTTTCGCGTGGTACTTGTTTGTAGTCCTGAACTTCAATGGGTTTTATATCCTCTTCTGAATAATGAGCACAATGAAATTCTTTTCCAGCTCGCGTTCCATTGTGTTTCCTTGAACCTATTTTCTGTGATTCCGAAAGGCTGAATCAAGAACAGCGCTGGAGATGCCGAACAATGTGGAGGTGACCTTCAGTTTTGATTGAAAGTGTAGCCAAGTAGGTGAAGTGTGCATTGTGAACATTGGATTCTGTTCTCTGACAACCTAATTATATATACTCGGTGAAATCAATTATTACTTATCAACCTGAGCAGCAAAATGTAGGCTAATTAAAAATCGCAAGGCATTGGCTCAAAGAGTTTTACTGTTTTGATGATTTCAGCCTTGGGTGACACCTTAATTGCCTTACATGGCTTTGGGACAGCAAAATAAATAAAACAAAAAAAAAAAACTCTGTTGTCTCTGGTTTAGTCCAGAGATGGACATTGTGCATTCAATTTTTCAAGATGACACCCACTCACCGATAGATGATGGTCAAGACAAGTCCGTTGCCAAAGAGACTGAAGAGAAACATGAAGTAGTAAAGGATGGACAGCTGAGCCCCCACGTAGTTGTCAACATTCCCATTACATGGCGCGACCAGTCGCGCCGGATCATCGCTGTAATTATCATAGTCATAATCGTATGTTGTCGCTTCCATCTTCGCCTGGACTGGAAGAAGTCAAATATGTCAGACAGATAAATGTATCGACCTGATGGGATGTGGAAATGAGCTACTATAAACCGAGAGCGCGCTCCTGTAGGTAGGAGGGACCAAATCATCGGTTCTACCAAACAAACACCACTCGAAAGTAAATAACCTTCAGGGGGGACCTCTTGCGAAAAAGCCACAATTTTTTTTTTTTTTGGAATGAAAATCATGCTAATGAGTGCTGACTTACCGTCTGGCCTTGTCCTTGTTGTCTGACTCTCAGGACTCGAGCGAAGCAGGGAGCTGACTCACAGTGACTTCAAGTCACCCTGTGATAAATCAGACGGCAAGGGGGAAGGAAGTATCCGGGAATAATAACAATTTTTGGGCATGCGTGCGTGTGTGTGTGTGTGTGTGTGTGTGTGTGTGTGTGTGTGTGTGTGTGTGTGTGTGTGTGTGTGACTGCTGTTTGTTTTTTGGGAACTTTGAAGGCCTTTGGAATTTGTTTACATTTTGAATTTGTTGAATAAGGCAAAAACATCGATGTATCTCGCTATGTGCGGGAGAAAAGAGTCGAACTCTTGACCTCAGGACTGTGAGGTGGATGTGCTACCCACTTGCGCACTGTGACGCCGAGACTGTCGTGTCGATATTAATTTCAAATGTGTCATATGTCAGATCACTGGCAATCCTGAGGACTTGCAATCTGGCGGTGCAGGTTCTGCCTCAAGCTGATGACCGCCGCAGGGTCCACCTTGCCCATCCGCTTACATTAAAAGATTGTAATATGTCAACAGTGACAAAATAAGAATCATTTTGAGTGTGGAACTTTTACGTTAAAATGTAGAAAACATTTCAAATGGCAAAATAAGACCAAGTTACCAATTAAAAATGGACTTTTACTCAAAATGAGGTCAGCATATGAATATATATCTATATCTATATATATCTATATATATATATATATATTTTTTTTTTGAACCCTTTCAGGGACAGCTTATCATGTTATCTGGTTACAGGGTGCATGAAAGACTTCATATACTTGATCTGTTTTTAACTATTCAGAGCAGTTTGACTGTTCAGTGTTTGTCTGGATGGTCCCAAACACTCGAGCTGACAATATTTACTGTCATATAAAACACACTTTTAAAAACAAAGCACCGACAAACATATTTTTTCCAAACATCAACAAACATTTTACTTCCGGATACATCGATAAATAATGCCCAACAAAATAGAAATTACAATTTATCTTCCCGGGATATATTACAGAGACATTTATGGCTTTGTGACACTCCTCCAAAGTGATAAACAACTACAAAGGCTATTCATAAATCATTGCACGACCGGGATTGGGGAAAAAAAAAACACGCACACACAACACAAATGACCAACTAAAGGCAACGTTTGAGAATATATCAATATAACTATTCAAGGTTTCAAACTCAGTCACAGTGTACAATAAATGGCGGGCGGGTGTGGGGGTATGTTACAATTTTAGTAAGACAAACCGTGTGATGTTGAGGCAACTACAGTCCACATTATTTGTGACCGCAAAAGCAGGAGAGTCAGCATGAACATCCGCGAGTGTGATTTTCTGCTTCCAATGGTTGTTTTGAACCCGCTGTTCTGCTTGGTGAAAATGTCAATACCCTGTCCGTGATTTGCCCTCACGCGCGCCGTAAGTCATCCGTGTGCTGTGAAAACTTAGGGCCGCATTTCCTTCTTTGACGACCTACGTTTGAAACTTGCCAACTCTGACAAGTAGAAATGTATCACATGAAAGTGAAAAGCATCATTGAGAAAGAGGCTTCCTGATGCACGCAGGCATTGCTGACGGTTCCAAATAACAGTTTTGTGCTGATTTTTTTTTCCTGTGGAAATTGAGAGAAGCCAGTTGTTCCGAGGCAACTCAATTGAATCTGTAGCTAAATGCGGGGTGATACGATTTCAGTTTGAGCCAAAATTCTCCCGCTCCTTGCTGCCTACGCCTTGTAACTAAATATGTGCTTTCTTTTTGTCTGGAGAAGCTAATATGAACGCTAAATGCAAGCTACCTGCATCTGTCTGAAATAGCTGCTGTTTGTCTCGACGGCCGTGAATGGCTTCGGTTTATCTGGAAGACCTTGGAAGCATCGTGTAATTCTGCTCTAAACAGCTTTGAGTCCCTCAGAAAGAATGCAAGAAAAATCATGCACACAAATCATCGGGTTTTACCAGCAATCCTAGTTGGGGGTTCAAAGTCGATTCAAATTGCCACCATGTCGCCTCCTCCTGCACGACTATCAGGAAAATTTCCCTTAAGAGCAATTGTCACAGAGGAGGTTTAGAAAAAAAAAACAAGCTGAATCGTGTATCGGGAAAACAAGCAATAATAAGTCACACAGGCCATTACCAAGTGCTGCATTTCATGAATAACGCTGGGAATTGCTATAAATCCAGATGAAAAATGTCACTTGCACTCAAAACAAAAAAATAGAACAAACAAAATAACTATGCTGAGTTACTTTTCACTGATTCTGCTGCAAAGATGTCAAAGGAGTGAACAGTCTTTTATGATGTGCTGACAATGCTCAACTTAGGCGTTTTCAACTTTTTTTTTTCTTTATGACACATTGGTGGCCCTTTGAATAGACATGAAAAAAAACCCAAAAACGTTCTTATGCATCAGTCTAAAAATAATGTGCTACGTTTGCTGTACTAGACAATCGAGTAAATAAATGCCCCCGGCCACTAAATGAACAAAAATGGTCTGCGTGGAACAAGAATCTGAAAAAGCACACATTTGGAATTTAGGCTAAAAAGCGTTTTTTTTGTTTTTGTTTTTTTTGTCTTCCCAGCAGGTAACAGGCTTCTATTTAAAATATAAGAAAATATACAGTAAAAAACAACATTTATACATGTAAATGCTTGGATCCTAAAGTGTAGGTGAGGTAAATGAGAGATTTTAAAAGTTCTTTTGTAGCCATGCGAGGACATTCCACGCGTTTCGTCAGTTTTGCTTAGCAAGTCAATATAAATATCAGTCACAGGATTTCCCGCGGCCTGTTTGTCACAGTGACAGATTAAAATGAGCGCAAACGAGATTTTGCCGTTTCTATACCATTACAATGGATGTGAAATAAAACAAGCACACTTGATTGAAGAGCTACCAATGTACAATTGTAGAAAGAAAAAGGAATCAGTTCGAGGCCCCGAAAGGGGAGGTCGTCGGCCCAACTGGATTGTAATATGTTAATACCTTTTTTTTTGTTAAAGATGAAAGTCTACACTTAATTTACATATTGATTGTTTTCTTGTGGTGGTGCATGAGCGCAAAGATTTTGGTCAACTCATTGTGCCAACCTTTCTGCCGACAGGCCTCGCTTTAATATGTCTCCTTGTTCTATTGGGTCTCGGAAGAAGTTACAGTTAGCTAACCCGATGAACTTGATTTGTACATTGATCCTCACAAAACATCTTTAGATTCACGTTTCAAGACATGACCGCACGGTTCATACAATCATTATCGCGGGGCAGCACTGAAGCGCTCGAGGCAGAAATAACACAACACTTTAGATCGCTACTGGCCTAACCTTCAATCGGCTACGCATCTGTCAAAGTTACTCAAAAGGAACACCACTAAGTCCGAAACATCGGTGCTCCTCTGTTTTGATGGCACTTGCAACCCATAAACCTGCACCGACTGAAAAGCGGAATTTTGTACGGCAGAACACCTCCCTCAGCTGACACTTGGACCACAAATTCTGTTCTCTCTGAATCATGCGCCACCACTTTTCAGTTTGACTCAACTTCCGAGGTTATTTCTGCCTCCGGTGTGGCTGTGCTGCGCGCAACGTGCTCGCGCGGGGGAGTCAACGGTCGCACATGAATCAGTGATTACAGTCAATGGCCTCTGGATACGTGCGGGTGTTAAAAAGCCAGCGGCACTTGTGTCCCTCGTTGCTGCGGACGCCATCAGATATTGGGTCCTTTGCTGTAATGTTCCCTTAGGTTGTAGGTCTGATAACACACGGATAAGTCACATATCCCCGGCGTCCCTGGATTACCCCTTTTACCAGGATCTCCGGGGGGTCCCGGTTTCCCAGGAATTCCCTGGTTGCCCGGCTGTCCGATCCCATCAAATCCGCGAGGACCTCGAGCCCCTTTTAGTTAAAACAAAGGAAGAAAAAAAAAAAAAGAATATCAACACAGATGACTACTGGGTGCGATGCATAATTGATGGAGCAAAAAAAAAAAACTATCAAATCATCTGACTAACTGATGTAACTTTGCAAAAAATACAAATACTGTGCATAGCATCACCAAACAACGTTATGTAAGTGCTCACCAAAAAGCATCTACCCACGTATTTAGTTAAAAACGGAGCATCCTCCATGCTTTCCCATTAAAAGTGCACTCGTGTTGATGAGAGCTCAGATGTCAGAAAACTGCGGTTGGTTGCGGAAACATTTGCCGCTCTCGAAAATGCAGTCATGGCAGTGTGCTAAATGAGTGTTTTGATTCTCTTTTTCCATACCTAGCGGCCCGGGTGCGCCCGGGCGTCCATGGTGACCTTCACCTTTGCTGCCCTTGAACCCTCTTGGTCCTACGTCACCTGGGGACATACGTGGTCTGCTTACAAATCAAAACATCACACGTTGAACGCCACAATGACGTCTCGAGAGATTTTCCAGTCCTGACGATTGTCAACATTGCCTCTACCGGTGCAACGATTAATCGATTAATCAACAAGTAATTGATTAAATTATTTTTGGTTATTGAAAAACCATGTATCCAAATCCTTGAATTTTCAGCTTTCTGTAGGGCTCCATGAAACCAGACTGCTTGTATATTAACTATATGACATCATATTAAAAATATGTCTTAATTGGAATGCTTTCCACTCGGTCTGCATCACTCGTTAAAAGTTTCTCTCATTGAAGGAGGGGATTTAACTTGGCGGTCAACAACGAGACAACAATGCCGATACAAAGCAATTACCAATGAGAAAGATTTGATTGGGCCTATTTCACAATGGGCATACATTTCTCATTTCACATCAGCTGCGATATCCCGCAGCTCACCTAATGAGGGCGAGTGGTATATAAAAGGGATTGTTTTCTAGCCACGTCTAAAAAAAAAAAGATAATAAAACGCATTTGCTTGGAACCATGTATCTTTAAGTCCTGTATGGATTTTTTTTCATGGTCCCTCTGTGCTTGCGCGGATTTCCTCTGGATACGCCAGCTTCCTCCCACGTTCTATAACATGCATGTTAGAGCAATTGAAGACGAAATTGTCCATAGGGCTGAATGCGAGTCGAATAGCTTGTCTGTTTTTAACGCGTCTCGACGTTTCCTGTGATTGGCATCGGCTTAGCGGCAAACTTTACGACAAGCTCCATAGAAAATGGATGGACGAGGATTGTATACCGTTGCTTGAGAAAGAATGTTCGCCTTTAGGCATGAGCGCAGTCCATGGACAGCTGAAAAATGTGTGAAACTGTTTGAAAGGCATGTTATCTGCATTGAAACGATGCACACTTGAGCGGCAGTCTGCTCGTGGCTCCCACACGTTCCGTACAGTGTCAAACGTGGCTCTGACCTTCCATTGCAGACAATTTACTTGCGCATCGGAGTTCAACTCTTACATACTGTTCACTTGCCATACTCACAAAAAAAAAAAAAAAAAAAAATCATAATCTCAATATCAAATCACTGATCTATGTGTGACTCAATTTCCTAAGGACTACTATGTATGATCGTTCTTATGCCGTTTCACACCTTGGCTGTTTTTCAGGACAACCCCACAACCCTTCCAATGTGTTCCGTCATCCTTTAAACTAACAAGGTGAACTCACATTCAACAGTGAGATGTGAGAGCGCGGCATCTTCCACAGAGGATTAGCCACGTGGAAGGGGTGATAAATCAAAAAACAAAAGCTCGTTTAAGTTGCCCGTGCGCGCAGTATTTATTTTATTTTGCTCTGCTGACTTTTACTGGTGCTCACTTGTTTAATAAGCTTGTTTTACGGGCTACATTTGAGCGTCAACGCATCCGATTTGTTAGCCGTTGGCACTCTTTTGATTTTAATCGTGGCTGAAAGCTGCCGTAAATTTTCCCGAGCTGTTGTGTCTGTAAAGAGTTGGAGTCATTTGTTGTTTCGCATTCGCCGTTATGGGGCGGGGGGGAGGACATTGCGCTGACCTGTGCTCAGGATTAATCTGTCCATACGGTACGCCGACGGGAGTCGTTCCGCTGCGCTTTACCTTTCAGGCCTGGTGGACCTTGCGCTCCAGGAGTCCCTGGGTATCCTGCAGAGCCAGTCCTGCCAGGATAACCTGGGATTCCCATTGAGCCTTTGGGTCCCGGGGCACCAGTCTCGCCAGGGGGTCCCTTCACGGCATGGCAGGATTCACATCTCGCCGATCGATCCATGGTTTGGAGAAGTGCCGGGAGTTGAGCTAAAGGCCAGAGACACATGTTAGCCATTTTCCCCGAAAGCTTAGGACACAGGATGCACGTAGAGTTTGCAAAGAAGCCAAGATCAAATCATCATTTTCAGACCAATTATCATTTGTCTCCACACATGTTCACCATATTATTTTCTCTAACTTCCACTTCGAGACCTGCTTTTAAATGTTTGTGTCAGGCTCCAACAGGCCGTGCAAATGAAGGGCCAAAACAACACCACATGAATGCATTCCTAGTCGGATGATGCCTTGCGAATGGAAACGTAAATCTCCAAACACAATTTCAAGTTAAAAGACAGCTCGAACCACTTTACTCATATTATTTATCGCCCTCTTAAACTCTCCGTTTCTATGCCGCCACCCTTGAATAAGAAGTCAATCAGTATTCTGTTTACCATTCAGCCGCAGCTAATTATGCGTTCCATCCTTCGCCTCGATGGTCTGCCGGTGATGGTGAGCCACTTGCTATCGCTCAAGTGACATGAGGAGGGGGAGGAGAATGGTCTGTAGACCTGAGGTAAAGCGCCTCGATGCTTCAAAACTGCATTTAAATACACGATTATTGACGCCACTGCCAGAACAACCTCTTCCATTTTCTCTCCTGCTGGGAGTCGCGATTCGAACCTGAACCTCAAAAGTGTCAACGCGCCGATATATGTTGATCGAGTGCAGGGAGTTGTGTCTCATGTACGATATGGAGGGCGTGTACACTGTAATGCCAGCGCAGAGGGTCACCATGGTAACCACCTGTTACATCCAAACAACAGATGCATTTGATCACGGCGCGCACGCACAAATTCTCCACACCGCTTCCCACTGCCTCACATTTCCCAGATCGCCGATCCAAATCGGCTGCGCCTCCTCAGGTAGGCCTCGTTTCCTCACCGTCCCTCCTTTTTGTCTCCCCGCCTCTATTCATGAAAGCTAATTGCGTCTGCTGAGTCTTCTTATGCAACCGTTGGTTTGTAATGGGAGACACCGTCATCTTTCCCAACCCCCCCCCTACACACCCCACCCCCAAAAAAATCGCTCTCATTATTCTATCAGCTTGTACTCAATCATTGTTCGTGACATCAGCAGTAGATCAATAATCACTTTGGCAGCGAGTGACTGTTTGAAAATTTATGTGACATTATCAGGGCATTAGTGAGTGAAAGGTGTCCGTTCTTCATCGTTGACTTTCATAAAGTGAATGAGATTTTGTATTTATACACATACTTCATACTTCTTGATCAATGGATTTGTTCTTTTCCTTTTGGAGGAAAATCTGCACCAAAATGTCCCCTTTTAAGTGATAATGCAAGTGTTCCCTCAAGCCGATGAGTTTATAAAAAAAACAATCTAACCTGCAAGCTTCTGTCAAGCTTTTATCACTTTTATAACTGAAATCATTTTCTGGGTCGCCAATCTTTGGAATTTTGAAGAACTGGACTTTCGCCAGTCATTTTGTCCATCACCAAAATGAAGTTGGACACTTTGCATCTCAGCGAATTGCAAGTATGCCCTTGAAGAGCTGCGAGTAGAATATCATCGCGCGTCAATCAATCCTATTATGAATATGTTTCTTTGGCACCGTTGCGACATTATTCATGAGCATGATATCAACATCGGTCTTCTTGCCCAATATTATGGAACCTATAAATGGGGCTGACTTTCTGGTTCAAATCTCTTGACATATGGGCATGCTAGAACGAGTACAAAAATCAAATAAAAATTAGAGCTTTGCATTCTCTTTAGTCTTTCAGCACTCATCCAATGATGTGCAATTGAAGAACAACAACAATGACGGATTCAAATCATTCACGGTTTTCCAAATGTCGTATTTGATGCAGTGTGTGTAAATCCTATTCACACAGCGACATTAAAAACGGATACTTACTGCGCAGGACATCAGTGCAGAGCTTCACAAGATGCTCATCTGATGGTGACTTGCCCTGAAAAACACAAGCGGATCTCAAACCGGCTGCAGGTTGAAAAGAAGGTCGTAATCTTTATCCAGCTTTGACATTTACAGTACACGGTAAAGCCGGTGGCCACAAATTTGACTTTTCCATATCATGACAGGAATCACCTTTTAGTGAGATAATAACGAGCGTACACTCACCGGCTTTCCGGGAAATCCGGGCTGACCCGGTTGACCCGGCAACCCATCCAGGCCAGGAAATCCCCTTGGACCGATGGCACCCATGTGGCCATTGTGGCCCATGTCCCCTTTCTTTCCTTCAGGCCCCCTCGGGCCCTCATCCCCTTTCAAACCTTTCTGAAGGACGACAGACGAGAGAAAATCTTAACGTTCTAGTGTCAGAACATCTTTTTGCAGCAATCAATCAAACCGCAACTTTTCCAAGCTTTGTATTCCTCCTCACGCCTTCCCGAGTTGCCAGGGCACCTCTAGCTTTGTTTTTTTTTTTTTTTTTTTTATTACTTGGGCTTAAGGCCCCCGGGGGGGTC